GTCTTTGTAGGTTTCGTCCAGCCGTCAAATTATGCCGTCTGCGCACATCACTGCCTGGTGCTTCACGACGAGCACCCTCTTGTGGTCTTCTTCTGATTTGTTTTGATGGACAGCATATGGGCATGCTGTGCGGTCAACAAAACCCCAACAGTTGTTCATGGGTGTTCCCTTGTCCTTGACGGCCTAATAAAAAAGACAAAGAAAAACACTCTTACAACATGGCAGTATTTAAACACTACCAAAACATGTGATATGGGACTTGTTACTCCTCTAAGATAAAGCGTATTTCCATTGTAGGGTTGTAAAAAACTTGGTATCGTAAATTAATATATATATATCGTTGTTCCTAAATTCTGCTAAGCTTTGAGGCCATCAAACTGTGCATGCGAGGCCCGCTACGCCGGAATTCAAAACGAAACTTCTGAAAACTGTTCTAATCTACCACTATTGCTTAGAAGTCCAGGGTTGTGTTTCCTAAATTTTGCATTGTTTATGCCTGTCTGGTTTTCACCAGACAATAAATTGACGTGGAATATTGTTTTCGACCGTTATTGGTAACTCTTTTCGAAACACCACCGGGTAGCATTCGGCCGCCATATTTTGGGCATCGCTTTTAGTGCGAGACTTGTGACTAGAACCGATCTCATATTCAGTATTGACGCAGCATTCGTGTCTAATACATTTAGACTCGCATCCGCGACAAACAATGACGTAGCCGAGTAGTAAGTTGGGCGAGTTGGTAAACGTTGAACATGGTTAAAATCGCGCACAAAGAGACGAGGACAAACGAGGAAGGAACACAGAACACAGACAGGCGCGCACTCACAACTCTAGTATATTAAGTGAAGAAGAGAAAGATGAAGCACTATTTTTTACAGGGGACAACGTCACCAGGGGGAAACAGATCATCCGCAGTCAAATGTTCGCAAGAAGGCAACTTCTTTTTCACTCAAAGCAACCGACGGCTGGCTAACGCAGCGATCGCTCAGGCTCAAGATGGTGAACGCCTCGAGCACCTCGCGCGTTTGTTTTTCTTTGAAGCGGCCAATGATTGATGTTTTTTCTAAAGATGGTGTGCACATACAGGTTTTACAGTGCACCGAAAGGTGACCTCCTACATTAGATGTTAAAGAAAGTTTATGCTCTCGTAGCCGGTCATTCAGACACCGTCCCGTCTGACCAACATAGCATCTTCCACATGAAAGAGGGATGCTATAAACAACGCCCGATGAACAGGGAACAAATGGCCGCACATGTTTCTTGTGGCACGTGTTTTTGGATAATTTTTCCGCCTTTTCACGAACCTTAGAACAAATTTGTCGCATTTTCTTAGGGGCTGATAGTACAACGGGCACACCATACCTGCTGGCCACTTGTTTTAGGTTATGCGAAAGTTTGTGCAGGTATGGCATAACCACCACCCGGTTTTTTTCTACGGGGCGCCTAGTTTTTTCCCCCCCTTTTACATTCTTTACCAGCGTTCCTATCACTTCGATTAAGACCTGATTCGGGAACCCTGAAGATTTTAGTCTATCGATCTGGCCCAAGAAACTCCGATGAATGGCATTCATCTTTCTCTTCTTCACTTAATATACTAGAGTTGTGAGTGCGCGCCTGTCTGTGTTCTGTGTTCCTTCCTCGTTTGTCCTCGTCTCTTTGTGCGCGATTTTAACCATGTTCAATGACGTAGCCCTCTTGCTCCCTAGACACTTGGCCAAAATAAGGCGGCCTTGAAGACTAGCGGCACCATGGGTTGCACTTTTAAAAAGGCTGCATTCAAGTTTCTATTATTTTCTAAATCTACCAAGGAAATCCAAGGCGAACATTTCCTTAGGAAAGTTAAACAATTCAAAAGTTGCGAGCGAGTGTGAATAAATAAAGCTGAGAGGGAATGGTTTCTTTGGTGCAGCTTGCGAGCGCTGTACTCGTGGTCAGCTTTCAGTGGCATTTTCGACAGGAGGGCGCGTGCACAGGTATAATAGGCGTTCAAGCACGCGCACCCGTACATCTGACTGCATAGCCATAGAACGTCCACAAAAACGCGACGACTTTACCGACGCCGTGCTGGTTGCAAAGTGATAGTCGTTCACTTTGTTTGATTATGCTGTTTTGTGTAACATGAACTCAAATCGAATGGTTTACTTTTCACGCGCAGGGCGTACGCTTTACTTCTTGATTCGACCTCTTTCAAGCTGGGGTCACGGTGAAAAACATCGACGCGTATTGAGAAAGTGCAGCCATCTTGAGATCTAAGCGATCACACTAAGGACGCTGAGCGCAGTCCGCTCTACAACTTGTGAAGCGGAGCGCACGCTCACTCCGCTAACTATACGCTCCAACTCAGAGCGGGCCACGCATGCGCGGTAGGGACGGTGCTCCTCGCAGAGCGTAAAGTAGAGCAAAGAGGGCTCATAAAAATGGCCTACTAATACCCACAGATTACGAACGCGCACGTCGTGACTTGTTCTGACACTGCCCATGTACACCTTTGGTGTATAGAAAAAAGTACCTTTTCACCAGACAGAGCAGCCATGCTAGAAACAATGGAAATGCGAAATTTACACAAACCATGCAGGGTCTTACCTGTGAGCACAGCTCCAGTTTTGCCAGGGTCAACCACCTATGTTTGTTTATGTCAGCGAGCAGGTGCCCGAACATCTCGTTGATGTGACCGACGATGAGGTTCACAAATATGCAGAACACCGACAAGTTCCGTCCAAACGCTCATCCAAGTACGAACAGACGGTTGGGATAGGCCAGTCGAGGAAGAACCATGGAAAGCGTCTCGCTGTCGGGTGCTGATATTTGGAGGCCCGCTTGCAGAGCAGCGAGGTCATTCTTTAAGCGGGATAGCCTCCTAAAGGGTTTCTCTTCTACGTTGGAAATATCCAGCAAACCGCGTTCGGAAAGGAAGCTTCGGCGCTTGATGGCACGAGGGATACGAATCATAGATTCGATGTCTCGCCAGCTTAATCTAGTTAGTATAAGTCTCCTTCCTTGAGAACAGCGGGGATTCATCGTGCTGATGCCTTGCTAGCCTTGAGTTACACTGTACTCGTACTTCGCAAAAGAATGTACTCGCAATGCGCAAAATTCGTCCTTTTCTTTCATTTTTCTACTTCGAATAAGTAACTCTTTTTCATTTTTAATTCGAGTGGAGCAGAAGCTACAAGAGCGACTGCCGGCCTTTCAGCGTCCTTGACCAGCACGCGCGCTCGTGCAGTGCAGGTACCGTTTAGAGCAACATGCTCATGCTTATACCTTCGGCTTTACTTGCACACAAGGTGGAACGATTGCATTTATATTTTATAGCTTAATATATTTTCGGGTGTGTGCCTACTCTTTTGTATTTATTATTGTCGCCTTCGTTTTTACTACCTCTACAATCACGCTCCCTTTTACTCTCTTGGTGTTAACGCTTAGGTTTTTTTGTCTTACTAGTACTATAAACATCCACTTGTGGGGCTACGCAAGCAAATTTTTCGAACCCGCTCAAAACGCTCTTACGCTAAAGAAAAACGCTCTACTAAAACGCGTTTTTTGACCTCCGCTTTCCATTCCGGCGAAGCGGGCCGCGCATGCGCAGTTTGGCACCCTCAGAGCGGAGCGGAAGATGAAAACGGTCTACTAAAACTCTCTATTGTCAAAGTTACCGTATAAACGAGCTCACTTATTACTGTGTAAAATAGGCTCGTTGTTTGTGTAAAAAAAGCGTGGTTATTACGTAAGAAAAGCTGATTCTGTAAAATTCTCCCTTCTTATTAAGTGAAAAAAAAATCGCTTATTGCGCAAAAAATTACTTAAAAAAAATTTTGCTTGTTCAGTAGAAAGAAGTTTCGGCTCTAAACTGCATGCACTGTGCGACACTTTAGCGCGAACGCAACGTCTCTGTTTCTTCGCAAACACCGAATTTTACTGCCGAGGTTTGTAATGTAGATGAACGACTTCCACCACGCTTCTAGTTTGGATGACACTGTTTCTATTGTTACAGTGTTACAGCAAAAACCAGTGGTCGCTCGCTGGTTGGCACTGTGTCTCGCTCAGTACAAATAATACATGAAATATTTATTTGATTTCTTCCCCTTTGAAAGCTAAGTATTTTAGGATATTTTCAAGATTGGAGTATTTTTCTAGAAAATGCCTTCACAAGTTTCACGTCAAAAACAGTTTGTATTACATTTTTTCTGAGTAGTACTACCATATTTAACTTCTAGGTACAACCACGCTAATGTTGTTAAACAAAACAATTTTGAATATCGCACTGGACGACGTATTTTAATGCGGCACCCCTCCCAGAAACGCTTCTATATTCGCGACAGAAAGTATTTAAAAATTCGGCGGAATCGACCCCTACAATAAACGGTGTTTTAGGTATTTGATAGTCTCGCCTTTCAAATTTACGAGGGGAAAACTAGCGTGACACTGGTTGGGAGAACATCAGGGAAAACGCACAATTCAGGTTGCCGAAAACGCGAACAATTTCGATTTCAAACCCAAAGTCTCTTCGTTGACATCCAGCATACTCGATGGCCATTTGCCGTCTGATGACCCTTTTGCCTCCCGTTGCCCCATACTGTGCCTAGATATGAGAGAGTATCCAACTATTTCATCAGGGTCACGTGGTCTGTGGGCCGCGTTCGCCACAGGAAAATGGCGAAAGCGTCGATCGCGACTCAAGCGTCTCTTCAGGCTTTCTTCAGCCTCTCTCCACCCACTACCCTCCTCGAAACGCGGCAACACACGCATACACACGAGCGACCAATTCGGGCAAACGTTCCTCATTGTTCGAGTTGATCCCTCTCTTAAATCAAGGTTCTCTAGTTGCGCCGCGTTGCCCTTGCCTGCCCCTTCATGTGCAATCGAACAAGACGCTTTCCTCCTTCGGCACGCGTATCGGTCGGCATCCTGGCGTGGTGGCGGTGCAACCGAACGCAGCACGCCATGAGCCTACAACTGGTTCCACTAGCATGCGGCCTTCTCGCCACAAAGGTGGGGTCCACGGCCTTTAAAAGTGGCATCGCGAGCTTCCGAATTTCATTCCCTCTACTACACCCTTTAGTTGCCCACAGGAGAACGTTCGAGTTCTCCAGAAAACGGACGAGAAAATGTTTTTTCGAGTAGGCGATGTGCGCTCGGCGTGTTTAACTTTCGTGCTGGTGGTATTCAGTGTGGGCACACTGGAGGCATCGCTGGACGGCAGTCGGCAAGTGATCACCAGCCCGCTCGTCGCTAGGCCGGTCAACCCATACAGGTAAGACATATTGTTCTTTGTTTGTTTTTTGTTTGTTTTTTAAGGAGACTTGCTTTTACCACAATACAATTACCGTAGTTCCCCGACTGTAGTCCAGACCCGTTGTTTAGTCCGCAAAAACAAATTTCATTTAAAAGAAAAAAATAAAACAAGTTCTTTCTTCGGATAGTTTGCAACTGGCACGCAATCCGCACGTAAAAGCAACAACTACAACTTCGCATGCAGAGAACGCCTTGAAAATACCCGCATTATTAGCTCACAAAGAACGTCGTATCAAACATATTTTATAAATCATCATTCACATGCCCTTTAACTCGCAAAACCCGTCATGTCTCGCCATAATGATCGACCCTAAAAAAAAAAAGATCCTCGTATAGTTTGCGCTTGCAAATAGATCGCACTGCCGATATTTTCAACTCAAAGTCCGCGTACTGTATAATCCGTAAAGTGCGCATTAAGAAAAGAAAGAAACCGATATGAAAGCAAGGACAGTTAAAACTTCGCTAGAACGCAGTGGATATGTTAAAATTCTCCAATTCGGTCACCTTTGTTTGATTCCATCATCCATCGCTTTCGCATAGGGTGTGCGGTTAAGAACGCTCGACAGCGGGTTCCCCTTATGTTTCATCGGGGCCGTACATTGGAGCATCGATGCAGCTGACGGCGCTACCTGCCGTCGCATGTTTCTTGTCTACGTTTTGAGGTACCTAAATCTAACGAGCCCACGAAAAAGACTCAGGCCGTATGTAACACTATAGGCACGAATAGACCCTTTTCAAATGTTCGCCGCTCCATCCGTTTAGTCGCTACGCCTATAATCCGCGTCCACCATTGTTTTGAACACGTACTCTGATGAGCACGTATTGGATACGAGGGCCATAGCTGTGTCGGCGTTCGACGTGAACTCGGCTCAGCAGGTGTCGAAAACGAGTTCTGCGGCAACACTCGGCGACGACTCGGATCCACTCGCACGCTTCCTGCCCAAGAAATGGCCATCGCCACGGTTGCTTGATAGGGTTTTGAAAAGGGTCTAGAGTGCACGTTCGTCTGCTTCTTTTGCACGGGTTGTGATGACGTCAGAATGGCGCCGAGCTCTGATTGGTTCTGAATGAAGGATAGTGGGTAGACCTCGAGGAAGCTTGCTTTGAAGTCTACCCAAGTCCTTCAATCAGAACCAATCAGAGGTCGGCGTTGTCCTGACGTCACCGCAACTCCTGGGCAAGAAGCAGACGACTTGCTCTCCGCATTCTCTGTACCTTGTTTCACAGTAAGTCGCTCTACGGTCAATGAGGACTTAAAAAGGCACGGCCCGGTGAAACCCTCGCATCTCATCATCTCTCCGCAACCAATAAGGTTGTGGCAGTATCCGATAAGAACGCCGAAGGACCAATCACGAAGCAAGAAGCCCGAATTAACATAATGAGCACCGCCCTCGCGTTTTTTAAGCTGTCAGTGACTATGACAGACGAATGCAGGCGTAAAGGAGAAAAGTACAAAGTCACTGCAGCGCATTCGCTGCGCTTGATCGGTCTAGCCAATGGCTGCACGCGCGCAAAAAGACGACGAACATTCTAAAAAACGTCTGTGCGTCTACTTTCACGCACAACACTCGAAGAACCAATCAGCGCAACTTTCGGAGGCAGCTCAGCGAATGACAATGCCGAAACATATGTTTAGACCAAAAAAACGCAGTCTGAGTTGTGACATTAAGCAATGCGAAACGTCACTCTTGCATTACCTAATGTCACAACTCAGATGGCGTTTTCTTGGTCTAAACATATGTTTCGGCATCGTCATTCGCTGAGCTTCCTCTGTAAGTTGCGCTGATTGGTTCTCCGAGTGTTGTGCGTGAAAGTAGACGCACAGACGTTTTTTAGAGTGAACACCATGCTGTCGCGCTTTATGGGCCGTTTGATTGGGTTAAAACTTGGGTTTGGTTTAGTTGGTCCATACTGGATACACTCTAAAAAAGTTTCAGCGTCTACTTTCCCGCACAACAGTCGGAGAGCCAATCACTGCAACTTATGGAGGCAGCTCAGCGAATGACAATGCCGAAACATATGTTGAGACCAAAAAAACGCAGTCTGAGTTGTGACATTAAGCAATGCAAAACGTCACGCTTGCATTGCTTAATGTTACTACTCAGACTGGTCGAAACATATGTTTCGGCATTGTCATTCGCTGAGCTGCCTCCGTAAGTTGCAGTGATTGCCTCTCTCAGTGTTGTGCGGGAAAGCAGACGCACGGACTTTTTTGACAGTGTAAAAGGTGAAAAGCGTGGTTTCTTCTGCTCCTTGTAAACTTGCTACGATATGTCCGATGTTGACAAGGCAGGAAAAAAGCATCCTGTTCTTGTTCCAAGAAACACACGGCGCAATATTCTGATTGTGCACTACCAACGGGGTGTTCGAGATTCTGTTTAGTTGTGGCAACGTATACATTGGGCAGACTGGGCGGCGCTGCTTCTGGGACAGAGCACGTGAGCATGATTTGTGTGTGCGCGAGAACGGGGGGGCATCTTGCTGACTATTGTAGGCGATGTGGGTGCAAGCCTGACTGAATTCCACGATGTCTTTAAAGGAGCGATGCAACAATTTTTGTACTGTGCACAAATACCGCTTAAAACGGATCCCTAACGTTAATGACCTATGAAACACGCGTTCGTTTTTCACCCCACGCAACAGAAGTCCCAGAAAAAAATTTAAGAAAAACGAGCAGCGTTCACGCCCTCAACTCGCAGCCAGAACAGGCGGCCACGTGATCTGGAGCCGATTATATGCCGCCAGTGTTGATCATAGCCACGCGCTGGGGTTGGCAAAGCGCAGGACACGGGCTGAGTTCCAGACATTGTTATGGCTCGGCTGTTGTCGTCGTTGCAGCGATTGGACACGGGTCACTACCCGAATGCTTCTCGATCTAGCAATTGTCACGAGCCCAAGTCGAGTGCCCACGCAATGCTCGGGTCCAATCCATGAACCGCATTCAAATATCGTCACTTGGGTGTACTGCGATCCCCGAGTTACGTCATCAAATTTTGCAAAGGAGAGATTGAATGAAAATGATCTCTTTTGTCCTTGAAATTACACCGCAACAAAGCAGTTTCTTGGCCAATGGCGTTGCGTGTGAGTATCCTTGAGTCCCAGGTGTGCCAGTAAGCTCGTGTAGAGAGAAAAACATTCCAATTGGATATCGTTGCACAGCTCCTTTAAGGAAGGCGGCAAAAGAGAAAACGGAGACAGATTACAGAGGAGTTCTACGCAAACGAGAGAGAAGGCAATTGCGTCAGCGCTGCGTTTTCTTATCTGCTCGAGAGTGAAAGTGCGTTTTTGGATGGTTGCCTTTGAGTGTGCGATTAGGTGCGATGCGGATCGGGCAATAATGTATGTATATAAGGGTGACTATCTGCTATTAAAAAAGAAATCAATTGGCAGTAAAGTGCCTGTCATTTCTTGCGTGTATCTTCATTGTCCCCGTTTTTGTTCGAACTTTTATCCTTTTATTCGTTCGATGGCCCTATGAGCTCAGCGTCGTCTGCGCTCCGGTTGAATTGATTTGAAACGAAGTACAACCAGCGGTGTGTCATGTCTTGCCGGTTATAAGCTGCTTTCGCTCTGCTGCGTGGCAGCGAGCAACAAGAATCCAATAAAGCAGCGACCCCCCAAAAATCTTTTTTTTTCGGCTTAAAAAAAAATAATACCAATATCGGTTTCTTAGATGTCTACAACTTAGAAAATTCCGTTGCTTTTTTTTTTCTCCCCAACAGCCACGCCATCTGTGTAGGAAACACCATGTACTTATCTGGCCAGCTCGGAAGTCATCCACAGACTGGTCGCATTGTTCCCGGCGGAATCGTTCCCGAGACACGACAGGCAAGTCCTTTCCGAGATTCCTTTGAGCGTCTAGAAAACGCGGTTCGGAGAAACAGTCGTCTAGCTTTCCGCCTCGTCGACAATTGTACCAATATCCTGTTTACCGCGTTAAAAAGGCACAATCACACAGTCGCGTTGGGGTGCGACAGCATCCACCGGAGCTTCAATAAGACCGCTTGCGTCGAGCTCTTGCCATGGTGACCCTTACGACGAGCCAATGGGAAGGCGCCTCGCTGCACGACGCAACGCGACGCAACGCGGTCGACGTAAATGTCTGAACGAGCCGAACACCTGTGCGCAGACGCGTCGCCATGATCTGACGGAGTCTAATATAGAAGTGCCGGAAATGAATGGTCACGTCTCTCCTTGTTTTTGTGCGTTTCCTTTCACCGGCAAAGCCAATCACGCGCGCTATAAAAAAAAAAAAAAAGAAAAAGCCCAGGATTACGTTGCATTTACTGACCGTGGTTGGCTTCTTAACAGGCGATGGCGAACGCACAAAGACGGCAAGCGCCGTCGTGATGGACTTTTGGTGCCGCTGCATTGGTTCCGTCGGATGGTCTGTATAGACCATCCGACGGACTAGTCCGAGTGCAGCCGATGTTGGTGTGAAACGGGGGTGAACTTTGAACGCAAGGAAGAGGAGCCCGATTATTCTCGCGCACATGCGCGCAGCATTTGTCGGGTGTAATTATATCTATATACTAAATATATATATATTGTAAACGTTGAAAATTATATGATATACAATAGACCCTTTTCATAACCATAATCAAGCAACACTGGCCGTCGCCATTACTTGGACACGAAGTGCGTGATTGGATCCGCGAGTCCTCGCCGAATGCTGACGCACCCCTCGTGTCCAATACGAGCCGAGCCGAGTTCACACCGAACGCTGACGGAGGTCTCGTGACCAATACATGCTCCGAGTATGTGAGCAAGCAACAATGGCGGACAGGCGTTGGCGCGGTCTTTTGAAAAGGGTCTATTTAAGTCAAAAAATAGTGCGTATGCGTTCGTTTTTTTCCCCAAAAATTCATAGGTTTTGAAGTCGGGACAATCTGCTGGGGAGGTCAAACTTTTCGATTTACGCAAAACGTTCGATGTTGAATCTTGAGGTTCAACGTCGAACCTGAGCTTTGACTAAAGTTCCGCGACATCCCTAGTCGTTACAATCACAGAGCGCCAACACGGGTCTTTGCTATGGCTGGTGATTGTTTCAGCGATCCTCAGTTTGGAGCACATTGATCGCTCTGAAACAGCACGAATTCATTTCTGTGTGTGTGTGTGCGCGGGGGGGGGGGGGGGGTTGTTTGTGTGTGTGTGTTTCATTCGCCGCTCTCAGCTGCCGGAGCCCAACGCTGCGCTTGCGTTCAGGTGGAGCTCGCGTTCAGTCGGAAGCACCAACTGAACCATGTATTAGCCGAATGATTACGCAGCGTTCGTGTCCAAACTGCGCCCTTCGCTAGTTTGAGGAAGATGGCGTAAAGAATCCAGATCACAGACCACGTGTTGGGTAAATAGTAATTATCGAGCTTTGCGAAAACCAAGCTGTGCTATGCGCCCCCTATAGTATATATGTCCGTTGATCTTGACAGCACGACGCGCACTTCATGAGAGGTTCACGTTTCTCTTCTGTCCCTTTTCAGGCTCTCACGAATCTCGCCAACATCCTGGATGCCGGGCAAATGACTCTTCGAGACGGTAAGCCGCAGCTAGAAATGAATGCAAAAGTTGAATGCAATGTACGAGCTTGAGAAATCGATCTGTACAGCATGTAAAAATCATCACCAGCTCGCCTGCGCTCTCACTGTTTTCTCAGCATACACAAGCTTAGACTCGATGCCACTGGATTTGTGGAAGGGTCTATTGGCTCGATAAAAAGAACGCCTGGAATGAACTGCATGATCTAGCTACAGTAAACGTAATGCTAATTCAGATGTGAGGCCTCGGAGATGAATATTTATTCCAAGTGGTTTCTCCTGTTTGCTGCACAACATCGGAAATAAGCGGGTCTTTAATCTCTCTTTTACATATCTTTCTGTTTTTACTTTTTTTCAGTGGTGAAGGTCAACGTGTACATTGCGGACATGAAGGACTACGAAGCCATGAACAGGATATACGCTGAATGTACGTGTCTCAGCCCCCTCTTAGGCCGATTTCGCTGATAGAGGCTTAGTGCATCGTTCTGATACCGCTGGTACCCCCTATAACGATGCCCGATAACGATACGAGGCACGCGCAAGGAGGCAACGGAGTATCGGGTATCGTTATCGGAGTTACCGGAACTATCCCTAACTAACTCTCTAACGACCACCGAAACACGAAAAGCTTTTTTCCTCTTATATTTTGTTTTGTTTTGCACTTTTCAGTCTTCACAGAGAAGTACCCTGCCAGGGTCACAATTCGTGCTGCCGAGATCCCCGGGGTAAGCTTTTTTTTTTTTTGTTGTCATTAACAGTTTAAGATACGCTGTGTGTTGCAAGTGTTGAGCATCTCATTGTCGATCCTCAGCCAATGAAATCGCGACATTGGACAATAACAGCGCCGAAGAATCAATCACGAAGCATGAAGCGTTTATAGGCTACGCCCCAAGTTTCTTAGCCTGCCAGTTACAATAGAGAGACAATTTGCACGGAGTATCGCCTCCCTAAATTAGAGAAGGAAAAGCAACCGCCGTAATTACCCGAGAGATCGCCCACCTACTATCAAGAGCACATCGGGTGGACATACGGACTGGACTAACTTTCGGTGGTCAATCGAGAAAAGTTGAAAACAATGCTATTTATAGGTCATGTGTCTCTTCAAAGCTTGTTTTCGCGGCGAGGGGCAGCGGAGCAAAGAGAACTGTACCGCCCAGTCAGCAACGTTCGCTTATCTTCCCGCCGATAGCTAACTAGCGCCGCACTGACGCGGAAGCCATCATTGATCCCAACACTACTATTAATAAAAGTGGGCTATCTTTCGGTGTTTAAAAAAGATATCAAATCAAGCCGAACCTAGGTGTGGGGTATTTCTCGGGATTTTACGGTAGCTTTTTCCTTAGTTCGTATGAATTTAACTACTCAAACACTTCACAAGGTATAATACAAACACGATCTTTATAATATATGCCCATATATTTTGGTAATTTACTCACCAAGTTTTAAAGTGCCACCAAATCAGAGTGAATCCTTATGGGAAAGTTTGAGATAAAATGATATATTTGACTTGTGTACAAATGAAGTGTGAACTGGATTATATAACCTTTCTTTTTCTACAGCGGGGCCGTATTGAAATTGACGCCATCGCAGTGGACACATCCAAGGCCGCCGGACCTAGACCTTTTTAATTTATTTATTTTGTACAGCCGAAAATCGAAAGCCATAAAATAAAGCATCAATAGTTTGCTGCTATACTTGTTTGAGTGGTTGTTCCCCTAGTTTGCTGCTATGTCACAAATTTGTACAGATCGGATGACTTATGCAACGTAGCCACGCAGTCAATAATAATACAAAAGAAAATATTTCAACCTGCGTAAATAAATGAATTCCTGGGTTATACAATTTTAATAAAGTAAGAAAATATAAAGTCCTTCTGTCAATGAAAATTGATAAAATGACTCCAGGAAACTGAGAGAGTCAAAACAGCATAGTGATGCACTCTTATGCTGCTGTGCCATTCGGACGTTCAGACAACACAGCAGTTCAAGAGGCCACTGGAGTTACACCTTTCCAGCTGGTACATCATCAAAAAGTAACGACCATGCTGGACGCGATGCTTCCCCACGTGCCAACTGACGATTGTAGCGACGACGCCCAGGTGGTTGCTGCAACGCGCCGAACAAGTTCGCCAGCTCGCCCGACTCCGGATTCAAGACCAGCAGTACGTCGACGCTGGCTGCTACAACCTTCGTCGTCGAGACGTTCACTTCCAGCTTAGAGACAGGGTCTGGGTGTGGACACCCATTCGTCGCCGCGGCCTCAACGAAAAACTTTATAAACGGTACTTCGGACCATACAAGGTACTTACTTGGTCGCCTCGGGGAGCACAACTATGAAGTGGTGCAAGACGAAATGTAAACATCATCACGACGCCGACCAGGACCATAGGTGGTTCACGTAGTTCGAATCAAGCCGTTCTGAGCTCGGTAGCCCTGAGAACTTTTCGTTTTCCAAATGACTTATTGGGGTGACTATTATTTTGTTTAGTTTTATGTTGCACCGGGGGCGCTGCGCTTCAATAGAAATTACTACACGGACGAGAGTAGCGAACCCGGGCCCCGCCAGTGATGGGGGCGAAGCGGCCTCTTGCGTACTCGGCAGAGGCCAGGAAATCCGTGTGGCTTGGATGGCATTAGCGATACTGCTCGGCACCACCGTCATCCACGAGCGTACACACGTTCGAAGACACGAAGCGACGCCTTAGTTGGGAAGATACGGTTGACACGACGGAAGATATGGTGACCCCCACCTGCAGGTGGGGGTCAACCGATACTGAAGCCCAGCGTGGTCCGGACCCTAGGTCAGAATATCCCCAGGGCAGAGGCACCATGGTGACGATTGAGAAGCTGGCTACCTCGACCGAAGAAGTGACCGGCATGCTGAGAAGAATACGCAACAAGAGACTCGGACCTAAGGAGAAAGAAGCAATCCGGCTGCTGCAGGCATTCGCGATTTCCCGTATTACGTACGGGACGGCCGCCTTAAAAGAGCGAGCTGGGGAAGGTGAACGTCGGGTTTAAGAAGGCATTCAAGTTGGCACTGGGCGTGCCAGGGCGTACACCTACCGAGCGGCTCATGGAGCTGGGTGTACACAACACTTTGGAGAAACTAAGAGACGCGCAAATCGCCGCGCAGCTCGAGCGGCTGGACGGGACGGCCAACGGACGGTGTTTGCTTGAGAATCTGAACCTTGAAGCCGAGGGGAGCCAGGCCCCTCCATTTGAGGACCTTCCTGGACAAGTCAGAGCCAAGATCAAGGTCAGTAGAATACCGAAGAACATGCATTCAAAAGAAAACGCAGACAAGGAAAAAAAGCAAGATCCGAGGCTTTGGGGTGCACCCGGTACACTCCGGAAGTGTATAGATGTATATATATATATATATATATGTAATGAGAACGAAGAGGGGAGAAGGTGATTATTGAATTTATTGCATTAAAGTTAGGGAAAGGGAAAGGGAAAGAGAGCTGGCGAAAAATTGGGCCAGGAGCGGGGTTTGAACCCGCAACCTTCGCCTGACCGGGGCGACGCCTTAACCGATTAGACCATCCTGGCCACTGGTTTCGGCGGACTCAATTTCTGACCAGCTCTCTGTGTACTGTTTAGTTTCGAATTCGCTTAACTGGGTAGACGACAACCGTTGCTGATTTAAGGCCCGCGCTATTTCCGACATGCGGCAGTGACGTGGCACGTCATCTCAGCTTGCAAATGTCGGAAAGGGCCCGTCTTCCAGGATATCTAGGGAACCACTCCTCCCCATAGGGACAGGCTGCACCGTATATATAATGGGATGGAGTGAAGATTGACAAGTGCAGCCGTAGTAATAATGAGAACGAAGAGGGGAGAAGGTGATTATTGAATTTATTGCATTAAAGTTAGGGAAAGGGAAAGGGAAAGAGAGCTGGCGAAAAATTGGGCCAGGAGCGGGGATTGAACCCGCAACCTTCGCCTGACCGGGGCGACGCCTTAACCGATTAGACCATCCTGGCCACTGGTTTCGGCGGACTCAATTTCTGACCAGCTCTCTGTGTACTGTTTAGTTTCGAATTCGCTTAACTGGGTAGACGACAACCGTTGCTGATTTAAGGCCCGCGCTATTTCCGACATGCGGCAGTGACGTGGCACGTCATCTCAGCTTGCAAATGTCGGAAAGGGCCCGTCTTCCAGGATATCTAGGGAACCACTCCTCCCCATAGGGACAGGCTGCACCGTATATATAATGGGATGGAGTGAAGATTGACAAGTGCAGCCGTAGTAATAATGAGAACGAAGAGGGGAGAAGGTGATTATTGAATTTATTGCATTAAAGTTAGGGAAAGGGAAAGGGAAAGAGAGCTGGCGAAAAATTGGGCCAGGAGCGGGGATTGAACCCGCAACCTTCGCCTGACCGGGGCGACGCCTTAACCGATTAGACCATCCTGGCCACTGGTTTCGGCGGACTCAATTTCTGACCAGCTCTCTGTGTACTGTTTAGTTTCGAATTCGCTTAACTGGGTAGACGACAACCGTTGCTGATTTAAGGCCCGCGCTATTTCCGACATGCGGCAGTGACGTGGCACGTCATCTCAGCTTGCAAATGTCGGAAAGGGCCCGTCTTCCAGGATATCTAGGGAACCACTCCTCCCCATAGGGACAGGCTGCACCGTATATATAATGGGATGGAGTGAAGATTGACAAGTGCAGCCGTAGTAATAATGAGAACGAGGAGGGGAGAAGGTGATTATTGAATTTATTGCATTAAAGTTAGGGAAAGGGAAAGGGAAAGAGAGCTGGCGAAAAATTGGGCCAGGAGCGGGGATTGAACCCGCAACCTTCGCCTGACCGGGGCGACGCCTTAACCGATTAGACCATCCTGGCCACTGGTTTCGGCGGACTCAATTTCTGACCAGCTCTCTGTGTACTGTTTAGTTTCGAATTCGCTTAACTGGGTAGACGACAACCGTTGCTGATTTAAGGCCCGCGCTATTTCCGACATGCGGCAGTGACGTGGCACGTCATCTCAGCTTGCAAATGTCGGAAAGGGCCCGTCTTCCAGGATATCTAGGGAACCACTCCTCCCCATAGGGACAGGCTGCACCGTATATATAATGGGATGGAGTGAAGATTGACAAGTGCAGCCGTAGTAATAATGAGAACGAAGAGGGGAGAAGGTGATTATTGAATTTATTGCATTAAAGTTAGGGAAAGGGAAAGGGAAAGAGAGCTGGCGAAAAATTGGGCCAGGAGCGGGGATTGAACCCGCAACCTTCGCCTGACCGGGGCGACGCCTTAACCGATTAGACCATCCTGGCCACTGGTTTCGGCGGACTCAATTTCTGACCAGCTCTCTGTGTACTGTTTAGTTTCGAATTCGCTTAACTGGGTAGACGACAACCGTTGCTGATTTAAGGCCCGCGCTATTTCCGACATGCGGCAGTGACGTGGCACGTCATCTCACCTTGCAAATGTCGGAAAGGGCCCGTCTTCCAGGATATCTAGGGAACCACTCCTCCCCATAGGGACAGGCTGCACCGTATATATAATGGGATGGAGTGAAGATTGACAAGTGCAGCCGTAGTAATAATGAGAACGAAGAGGGGAGAAGGTGATTATTGAATTTATTGCATTAAAGTTAGGGAAAGGGAAAGGGAAAGAGAGCTGGCGAAAAATTGGGCCAGGAGCGGGGATTGAACCCGCAACCTTCGCCTGACCGGGGCGACGCCTTAACCGATTAGACCATCCTGGCCACTGGTTTCGGCGGACTCAATTTCTGACCAGCTCTCTGTGTACTGTTTAGTTTCGAATTCGCTTAACTGGGTAGACGACAACCGTTGCTGATTTAAGGCCCGCGCTATTTCCGACATGCGGCAGTGACGTGGCACGTCATCTCAGCTTGCAAATGTCGGAAAGGGCCCGTCTTCCAGGATATCTAGGGAACCACTCCTCCCCATAGGGACAGGCTGCACCGTATATATAATGGGATGGAGTGAAGATTGACAAGTGCAGCCGTAGTAATAATGAGAACGAAGAGGGGAGAAGGTGATTATTGAATTTATTGCATTAAAGTTAGGGAAAGGGAAAGGGAAAGAGAGCTGGCGAAAAATTGGGCCAGGAGCGGGGATTGAACCCGCAACCTTCGCCTGACCGGGGCGACGCCTTAACCGATTAGACCATCCTGGCCACTGGTTTCGGCGGACTCAATTTCTGACCAGCTCTCTGTGTACTGTTTAGTTTCGAATTCGCTTAACTGGGTAGACGACAACCGTTGCTGATTTAAGGCCCGCGCTATTTCCCTAACTTTAATGCAATAAATTCAATAATCACCTTCTCCCCTCTTCGTTCTCATTATTACTACGGCTGCACTTGTCAATCTTCACTCCATCCCATTATATATACGGTGCAGCCTGTCCCTATGGGGAGGAGTGGTTCCCTAGATATCCTGGAAGACGGGCCCTTTCCGACATTTGCAAGCTGAGATGACGTGCCACGTCACTGCCGCATGTCGGAAATAGCGCGGGCCTTAAATCAGCAACGGTTGTCGTCTACCCAGTTAAGCGAATTCGAAACTAAACAGTACACAGAGAGCTGGTCAGAAATTGAGTCCGCCGAAACCAGTGGCCAGGATGGTCTAATCGGTTAAGGCGTCGCCCCGGTCAGGCGAAGGTTGCGGGTTCAATCCCCGCTCCTGGCCCAATTTTTCGCCAGCTCTCTTTCCCTTTCCCTTTCCCTAACTTTAATGCAATAAATTCAATAATCACCTTCTCCCCTCTTCGTTCTCATTATTACTACGGCTGCACTTGTCAATCTTCACTCCATCCCATTATATATATATGTATATTTATATATACCCCTTGTCCCACGAGTAACACCCCAAAACAATAATTCGATGTTCACAGTCCACTGACGTTGAACCGACGATACCAACTTTCAAGAGTGGCTTGATAGTCGACCGATGCAACCTATTAAAATAGCTAATCGAGGTTTTTTTTTGGCCCTGCTACAAAACATCAGTTTTTTTTTCTCCTAGTCTTTCATACGCACATCAGCTATTTAGTACGCTATATCCAGCAGGTATCAAGCCGCTCATAAAAGTTGGTATCGCCAGCTCGACGTCAGTGGACTGAACGTCCAAATGTAGTTTTGGGGTGTTACATAAGGGACAAGGGTTGTATTCCTATACATCCCCCATTTTTAAGAGTATCGCAGGAGCAGTATTGCGTGCGTGGACGCGTCTCTGGGACAGGACGGAATGTGGCCATGGTATCACCGGACGGCGAGAAGATGATCAGCGTAGCGTCGGTGAAGAATATCTAGTCGGCGGCCCGCGCGGAGGAGGTGGCCCTATAGCTCTGGCTATCGCCCGGAACTCGAGGGCGACCGTGCTTACAGACTCGCAGGCAGAGTGTCGGAACATTGCGGCGGGCTCCGTCAGACTTGTAGTGGCAAGTCTGATTCAAAAGCACCCAGCGGAGTCGGTACATGTTGTGTGGACGCCGAGCCATGCGGGACACAGGGGAAATGGGGTGGCTCACGCCACGGCCCGAGGTTTGCTTCCCAACCGGGCCTTCCCCTCCTGTGGCAACGGCGCTGACGGTGAGGCGTCATACTCCGAACGACTGAACGCCATTTGACTCGCCAGGCGGCGGCTCCCTTTGCCGTACAAGAATCTCTCCAGAGAAGCACACCTGACACGATGACTCCAGGTGGTCTCACTACCAACGCCGGACAGACTCAACGCGTGGCACCCGTCGTCCCACCCGTATTCCGCATGCACGCACTGGGGGTGCGAACGAGCCGATTCGTATCACGTCGTCTGAGCCTGTCAGAAGAATTCCGGCCTAATGCCTTTCACGAACCCGACGACGGAACGATGGGAGGCCACGTTACGCAGCGAGAACCTGAGACAACAGCTGCTGCTGGCAACGAGAGCGACGATAGCGTCCAGGGCCGGTGGAGTCCCGGAATAGGGGCTGCCACCCATCGTTCTCTCTTTCTCTCTACTCACATTAGATTCAATAGAAATTG